CCTGCATCCACACCAGCACCTGCATCCACACTGGCATACCCTTTCATTCTGAAACAGTTAGCACCAGGACTGTCAGAATTCTGTGAAGCAACTGTACCGCGGTGGGGGCTGACATTTTGCGAGGACCCAAAAGGCATCTGCAAGGACAGCTGTGGAAATCTAATTTCACAGGTCCGGGGGGTAAACTGGGCCTGTCGAACAGTAAGAGAGACCGCTCTTTGAGGTGATCAGGCTAAACGCTAATGGGGATTATGCCCCATTCAAGCCGGGATGAACTGTCCGACGGAGGCGACCTCAAAGATGTTCGGTTTGAACCCTTCATATGTGACGTCTGTATGGTCCAGTTAGACCTTCAGCTGGGACTCAGTCTCAGCATGATTTAAAGAAGACGGACTGAGTGTGAGTGAACGAAACATAAGCAAACGTGCCTGCCGCCAGTGCACATGAACTAATGACCTGAAGGCTGTTGGTTCAAGTCCTCGACGGTAGATCCCGAGGGACTCTGTAAAACATACAGCCATTTAAAAGTCATCTCAGCGAAGACACCGAGTGTAAATGTGTACAAGCAGAGCCAATTTTCGGGGGCTAACACTCCTGCAGTCGGGCAGTAATCACTGGAGCAGGCCCCTGTGGAGAGGTGACTAACTAGACAGAGTGGGGAGGGGGGGCTCATCACGCTCCAGTGTGAACGAGCACCCCCCACTAATGCTGCCCAAACTGCCTCAGGCAGAGTCAGCAAATGCGCAGGCCGGCGACGTTCCCGCTTTTCCACTTCGGAACGGCGGCCTCCATGCTGCAGTCTCTCTCTACTGCCCAATTAGAGTCACCACACTAACCCAAACACTCTGAAAATAGTGTCAGCAACACAATATAATAAAACTCCTACCCCGTTTCCACAAAACCCCCTCACTAGGAACGGCTGAAATTCATCCTATCTTCCCCATCACCTTTCCATTTTTTTTCACTCAAACTAAAACGAGCCATTAAGCCGAGCCACTGGGGGGGGGGGGGTCTGTGTTTAACAGCTCACTGCAAACTGCTCCCCCAGACTCTTTGTCTCTCTCTCTGTGGAGGACAGCAAAGCCTCTGTATTTCAATAGGAAATCAATGTTGCCCTTCGGCAAAGGGTTACAAACCGCCACAGGACCCAGGCGGGGGGATGAGGCTGCCCCGCGACAGCTTCGTCAGGAGGGAGGGGAGAAACGATGGTGCGTCTCCGAGTGTCGGCAACACGCCGGCAGTCCTGGCCAGTTTCGCTGAGACACACATTCCCCGAGACGCATGGTAAAAATAAACATGCTTATTACACCTCAAGACAGAGCCGGTCAGTCTGGCTAGCGCACATTTTTACAGCTCGAAAATACATCTCACAGTGTGTTCAGGTCCCAAGAAGGTTCAGCTATTGTACCTTTATTATTACCAAAGTTGCTTGCTAGTCTTGCCAAACTGTAGAAAAAATAAAAAAAGTCTCTTGAAATAAAAGTGACAGGTAATCCTGAATTAATTAAATTCATGAATTAAAGGATTTTGCAGATCTTATGGTTTGCAAAGACATCTGAAATCAAGAAGAATATCGGAGTTTGACATCTGATATCAGTAAGGATATCAGAGGCTGCAAAGACATCTAATATCAGGCTCACCACCCATGTCCATGTCTGCGGAGTGTCTGCGCATGCAGGGCAGGCGCACAGACTTACTGTCCATGACCATGCCTGCGGAGTATGTGCGCATGCAGGACAGGCACACAGACTCACTACCCATGACCATGTCTGCAGAGTGTCTGCGCATGCAGGGCAGGCGCACAGACTCACCACCCATGACCATGCCTGCGGAGTGTCTGCGCATGCAGGGCAGGCNGACCATGTCTGCAGAGTGTCTGCGCATGCAGGGCAGGCGCACAGACTCACCACCCATGACCATGCCTGCGGAGTGTCTGCGCATGCAGGGCAGGCACACAGACTCACCGCCCATGACCATGCCTGCGGAGTGTCTGCGCATGCAGGGCAGGCACACAGACTTACTGTCCATGACCATGTCTGCGGAGTGTCTGCGCATGCAGGGCAGGCACACAGACTCACCATCCATGTCCAGCCGCTGCATGATGATGGCCAGCTCCACCTCACTGGGCATGTATCCCAGGGAGCGCATGGCCATTCCTAACTCCTGCTTGGAGATGAAGCCGTTGCCATCGCGGTCCAGCACTCGGAACGCTTCCCGGATTTCTGCAGAGAGAGGAAAGCCGGTGTTCACCTCAGCATCTCCACAACGCCTCGTGAAATGTGGCACTTATCTACCCCAGGCTCACATTTACCCTCCAGCCCCAGCTCTCTGCTGCCTTTTGTACCCCCCAACCTCCCCCAGATTAAAAGTAAGCAAGTCTACCATTCACAGGAGGAGAAAGAGGGTGTGAGAGAGAGAGAGAGAGAGAGAGAGAGACAGAGACAGAGAAAGGAGGAAAATGTAAACGTGAGGAATCCTGGCGTCCGAATGCCGCAGCAGGACGAAACAGCCGGCGCATAGAGTTACATCATCACCCGGAGAAATGTCACCACTCCTGACAAACGTCACACGTCCGCGAGGAAGCCAGCTGATATCTCGGCCGTTTGGGGCACCAGACGACTCCCCTTCTGCTGCAGACGGAGACCCACGGGGGGGGGGGGAGCGTCTTTAAAGGAGACACTGATGTCAGAAGGGTGAAGGCTAAGGGTGCAGGGAGAGGCAGCAGAGTGCAGACTGAGCTAGAAATGTCACCGTGACTGCAGGCTGCAGCAGAGCGCTGTGCAAGTGCCAGTGTGAAGCACCAAAGAGCAGAGAGAGACTAGACACACATACACACACAGAAACATACACGCACATACACACACATACACACACAGAAACATACACGCACATACACACACATACACACACAGAAACATACACACACATACACGCACTTACACGCACAGAAACATACACGCACACACACACACAGAAACATACACACACATACATGCAATTACACACACAGAAACATACACACACAGAAACATACACACACAGAAACATACACGCACATACACGCACTTACACACACAGAAACATACACACACATACACGCACTTACACACACAGAAACATACACGCACAGAAACACACACACACATACACACACTTACATACACATAAACACACACACACATACACACACTTACATACACATAAACACACACACATAAACACACACACTTACACACACATAAACACACACACGCACTTACACACACATAAACATACACCCACTTACACACACAGAAACATACACACACAGAAACATACACACACATACACGCACTTACACACACATAAACATACACACACAGAAACATACACACACATACACGCACATGCACATACAGAAACATACACACACATGCACATACAGAAACATACACACACATGCACATACAGAAACATACACACACACACACACACACACACACAGCCAGCTGTAAAGCACCGTTACTGAAATGCTTGGAAGTTTTCAGAAAAGCATGACGTTTCGACAGATTACAGGGCAGCTAGACTCACTCTGTGCCAAACACTAAGCAGTTGGTTAATTAAGACTGACAGCAAAGCTCGCAAATATAACATCAGCCGGCAGCTGTAAGACCGTCAATAATGAATCGACAACACGTCCGGAAGCTGAATCCACTTTTTATTTTTCCGTATTAATGGAGTGCTGATCAATACAGCAGCGATACGGCGACACCGCAGCGTAACTGAGATCACAGAAAACAGCGACTGTCAGTTGAATTAACCTTTCACCCGACTGTACTTCCAAAGTCAGAGAACAATAATTACTTTTTGGTCATTTGTCACATTTTAATAAAGAAACATTTAATCCACTTGGCCTGTGACTTCAGAAGGCTTCATGAAGCATTTTGTAAAAACCTTTGTCGTAAGGTGGCAGTAATCTGGGAATAATGGCAAAAATAATCACAGCTCGATAATGGAGCATCAGCTCCACTTCCTGTTGGTGTTTATGGGATTAAAAATCACACCCTTCTGGTTATAAAACGGCAGGTAAGTATGAATCTCACACCACATGTCTGTCCGCAGAGGGGCCTGCTGGGAAACATGCACCTTCTTCCATCGGCCAGCAGGTGGCGCAAGTAAGTTCCCCGCCGAAAGCAGTTCGGTACCCAGTGGGAGGGTACCCATCCCGGTGAAGCCCAGTGTAGAATTCCACTGCGTTGGCGTGTGCCGTAGCACGGGCAGGTTCCACAGTACCGGCGGCCCAGGCAGCGGGGGCACGACAGGGGAGTTCGGGCTTATTTAAGCACGGAGAAGCTTCGCACTCATCCAGGAGCACAGGGGAGTAAGGCAGGCTGCAGGAAATGCAGACCTGGGAGAACATGCCGTGCTCTTACATCAAACGTCTCGACACCGTCAAACGGCCGGGGCTCCTGTCTTGGCGTCAGCCAGGTTGTCTGTAAAATGCGACGAATCCGCTGACCCATAATGGACATTTGCATTAGGGCTCGCCGGCATTCCCAAGCTTATGTCATCGCGCAGTAACCTGGGAAATCCTGCGCACAGTGTCAGCCGCCGCATCTACATCGTTCTCCATACCAGAGCGTCGTTTTAAATCCTGGGCTTATTACGGCGTGAAAGGAGAACACGTGGGCGTTTGCGCAGGAGATGCAGGTCTGCCAGCTGGGAAGACCTGAATGTATTTTGGGATATAATGTGAAGCGCTTATCAGGAGAGCGGGGCCCCCTACAGGCCCCCCTGGAGAGAGCAGTTCCTTGCCACCGCAATCAGACTGGGTGACCCAGGCGATGCCCTTAGGAGGGCATCTCCGATACGAAGGCGGATGCCCCATCTCACTCAAGTGACGAAGATTTGGTTCAAGTTACGGCGAAGTAGAGGAGCGTATCCGGGCCGAAAGCGGGTCCCATACGGACTACAGAACCGAGCCGAATTTCACGGCCTTTGGAAGGCAGGGGCGACTAGGACGACTCATGTCACATGACAAGGAAGAATCACTTTCTTTTAATTGCCTTCACACTTGCATCACACACAGACACACAAACATCCTTATCTGCTGCAAGAACAGGTAACCAGCATAAACATGGGGACCTTCACTGTCACTCCCCTCCCCCCCAATCCATCCCTAAGCCCCCCCCCCCACGCTCAGTATCAACAAACCATGTGACTGACAGCGGGGGGAGCTATAGAATTCAAAGCCCCCTCCCTGTCAACACAAAGCCCATTTATGGACAGCAAGAGGTCTCTTGTTGATAAACACTGAGTGTTTTTGACGGCTCGCCATGCAGGGGATATGCAGGGATCTGTTCCATTTGACTGATCACGGACCAGTTAACACCAAATCACAAGCAAAGTGACTAAACCGTGACCAGCGTAAAGGGGCTGATCAGCTGTGATGTCTGGGTGACAGCACTCACTGTTTCTCCATCTGTGGCCGTGCTTCCTTATCAGTCTGTAATGAGCAAATTGCCCAAAATGCTTTTCTGTATTTCTGGTCCCCCGGGCGCCATAAAGGACCTTGCGAAAGCCCTTCATCAGCGTGGCTGACTCACCGTCAAGCTCCTCCACGGAAATGCTGGCCAGCTGGTCGCTGTCGCTGCCGTTGGACAGCGAGCGGCTCAGGTAGTTCCCCTTGTAGAGCAGGCCGGCCGTCACGTGGTGAAAGGGCATCTTCCCCCTGTGTCGCCGTGGGAGACGGGAGTGAGGGGAGGGGAGGGTGGGAGCGCGGAAGAGAAACCGAGCCCCGCTCTCTGGTCAAGACGATCCTGCAGCAAGCTAGCCCTCCGTGGGGGGGGGGTGAGAGTTCATGAAGACAGGATGGAGGGGCAGATGGAACCATGAACACTCACCTCTAACACACCGCTGCACTGTACCCACCCACCTAGAACCCTTAGGACACAACATCACTTTAATTGACGCATCATCGGCGCATTAAATTAAGACAGAGGATCATCAAGCGGTCGCAGGATTAGGAGGCCTGACGGTTTCATTATTGGCGCCGCCGCGGTGGCTGTCGCCGTTTTGACAGCGGTAACCGCCATTACCGGGAGCCACGCAACGGGAAAGCCGTTACCGCAGAAACAGCTTCACAAAGGTCTACCCAGACCTCTTCTTTGGTTCACTGGTGAGGCAAAAAAGTCGATTAACTGCTACCTTCATTAACACACTACACAGATGCTGTAACTTCAGATGTAGAGGCACAGAAAGCGATGAAAACAAACCTCAACTGCAAATTAAAACAAAGAAAGCTGGTCTCTCCGCGGGGCCTTCGGAAACCCAGCCACCGCAGCCAGAATCGATACTTCACAGGGGAAGCTGGGAGCTGTTGATAAAAAGGCTGCATTTCCTTATGTACTATTCAGGGAAACAGGACCCGGTGTAGAATATATGTAAAGCAGGAGAAACGAGAGAATCATTGGCGCGTTCCTCCTACCGCATATTGGGGGGGAATTACGAGAGCTGGATGACCCATGGAATGGCAAAAACATCACAGAGAGCCTGGCATGATGGGTCACTCACAGACAGCCAGTGCCGACCATCCATTCCATCCCCGGGGAGTTAAACGAGGGGGACTCATCCTCTTCCCAGAGAGATGAACGCTACTGGATACATCCCAGGTCTGGTTAATAATCTTTAGACAAACCCTCAGAGTTCCCAGAATAGCCAGGGAGGGGCGAAGGGCCAGACAGGCAGCCTCATTGAGGAGTTGGGTCACATGACACATTCACAGCTGCCGGGTTCGGCGCACCAACAGCCGATACACCAGTACCTTTCACGTGTTCCTGGGCGAAGAAGCACGATAGAGAGCAGGCGGGTTTTTTATCGCAACCGCAGAGGAGACTTCGACGGCTCAGTCAAAAGCAAAACCCTAGTGCCATGCTGGCAGACAGCAGGACAGGCGGGGATTGGGATTTTTATACCTCCTATATCAGAGCGGAACACATTTGCAAATCCCCAGAGAGGGCAGGCGGCTGGCCAGGGAGCGGGCAGGTCGGGAGAGCGGGCGGGCTGGGAGAGCGGGCAGGTCGGGAGAGCGGGCGGGCTGGGAGAGCGGGCAGAGGGGCAACAGCGGCCAGCAGAACAGAAGATCCAGCAGGAGCCCCGGCCAACATCACAGGCATCCAGAAGAGGGTTCAGGAAAGGCGGCCGGTCCCCCCAGTGGGGAGATGAGATCATAACATGGACTCAAAGCTCCCTCACTGCCCCCCACAAAACCAGCCCCCACATCCAGGGGCCCGGATAACTGGCCCAAGAATCCTACATCAGACTGGCCTGGGGCCACTTCCCAGATTTCCTGCGACACAGCATAATCCCACCTGACGGAGGTGATTAGAGGCGCGCATCAAGACCCACTCAAACGAGGGAAGAAAAAGTGAAAAAGCAGCAAACCTTTAACTGCTGCAGCAGAAGTCATGAAGCCCACTATGCGTCACACCGAACAGCAAGCGGGAGGCGACACTGTTCACTACCTTCCTCGCAGAGCAGAGTACAGCAGAGCGTCCCTCCGTGGCAGATCACCACCCTGTGGCAGACTAACATGTGACGGCCAGCCTATATCCCTATAAACGCTAATGGATTATACCCCCCGCTGTGGCTCGCGTGCGACACAGTAGAGATCAGTAACTCACTGCTTGACAGCTGCAGATTCATATTACGCATTAAAGCAAGACAACGGCAAGGTTTGGGAGTCAATTACCCATGGAAATGCTTGCCGTCTGCAGCACTAACAACTCAAGGAACTGTCATACATTACATGGCCCATAATGCACCTCTAGAGTTCGCTGACCTCTGACACTGAACTATTAACAGCAGGACTGATTGGCTTTCAGGCATCCTGCTTGTTTCTAAGATATACGGGGTCAAACACGACAGGGAGCCTCAGCACAGGTTTGTACAGGAGAGGCTAACAGCCGAGGGGCAGCGATACGCCAAATTAAAGTAAACGACTCTGAGGACATCAAAGTTCTGACAGGTCAGGCTGACCTGAGCGACCATAAGCGCCAGCTGAGATTAGCCTGGCACGCCATGGTCGCCGTCTGCGCTAATGCCGCCTGGCCAGTCTACGGACGACAGGTCAGGTGACCCGGCGCCGCTGACCGCGGCTGCCACCTCTCCCAAGGGGCCGCAATGGTACCCTACGTGCCGGCCCGGCCCGGCCGCCGTGACGCACTGCAGAGAACAGATGGCAAGGGGGGCCAAGCCGCCACGCCGCTGAGGTCATCAGCGCAAGCGAGTTTCAAACATACCAACGAGGTCCCAGAAAAGACCACCGTCGCTCGCGGTTTGGGGAATGAGCCACAACTACCTACCGCCACATCTTCCTGCACGGCTGCCCTTAAAGCTTTTAAAATTTGCAGTGCCTTAATAGAAAGAAAACCTCACGTTCAGCAAATCCAGGGACGACGGAGAGTGTGTGTGCGACACGTTCCCGGGACGTCACTCACAGCCACGGCATTAAAGCGCCCCCCCCCCCCGACAGCTCGCTAGCCCCCAACAAGCAACCGGGAGTAATTTAGGGGATCAAAACAAGCATTACGCAAGCTGGGGTGGAGTTTTTCAGAAACAATCAAAAGGAAGTCAAATCTCACGCATAGCACCCAAAAGGCAGGAGGGATGGGGTGATGTGTGGCTCCACGAGCGGAAGGTCGTCGGCTCAAATCCCAGAGTCGACAGAGCGATGTCACCATTGGGCCCTTGAGCAAGGCCCTTAACCCGCAACTGCTCTGGACTAGCTGCCCTGCATTCTATACGTCACGTAGGACAAAAGACTCTGCTAACTGAATAAGATGTTCACAAAACACAAAAAAAGTCCACAGGCTCAAGAAGACAAAGACCCCCGAGAATCCCTGAGAAAACCAGGGTCACGTGTCTCCTCTTCAGATTCCTGCTGTGACCTGCACTCCCAGGCAATGTCACCAAACCGCACTGAGCTGTGGCAAGACTGGGCCAGCGACAGCCCAAAACCTGGGAAGACAAGAGAAGGTCCTCAGGGCAGAAAACATGCTAGTAAGCAGCCGGAAACACATCCGCTCGCAGCGGGGCCATGAAAACTCAGTCATGTCCCAGACTTGCTGGCCCTGCAACAGGACAAATGAGTCACACTCACAGGGACCCCGGACCAATCTGGGTGCTGATATGGCAGCATGTCGACCGTATCCATGCAACAAAAAAAGAAGGGAATCTAACATCTCATTTCGGACCATGTGCAGTACGAGATCTGTGTAACCGGGGGGTGGGTCTTCCATCACCCCAAGACAAGCCTACAGATATGAGGTTCCTGCCACTATATCCCCCCCCCCGCAGTCAGCACAACACTGCAGCATATCCAGGCTCAGCCTGTGTGGCCCCCACCTTCCACCCCAGGAAGATTCAGAACCTCCTGTCCAAGGTCAACGTGTGGCATTTGAGCATCTGCCCTGCTGGAAAGCCGTGGGGGGGTATTATCCCCCCCCCCAACCCAAACCAGAACACCTGGATTATAAATCCACTTGCTCCACTGACGATGTAGGAGACCCACGGCCGGAATACACCTGCTGCCTCTCAGAGACGCACTGCCCCAGCTGTACAGTCACACTGTTTACCTGGCTGTAAGACACAGCATCCATGTGTGTGTGGGGGGGGGGGGGGGCTGGAATACTTCACCCCCATCACTGTCAGTCCCCTGTCCCAGATCCTGAGTAGCGACCTTCTAACATTCACATGCAAAACGTTCATACACATGAATAACCGTATACATAATGGGCACAACCACTCATTCATATCAATGCATTATGACAGTGATTGGACCTGACACTTTTGTCATTATTGGCAAATATGAAATGATTTACTAATTAGCACAACATTAAGAAGAATTCCAAAATAACCGGCGGTCCCAGGCGGATCATTAGCGGCAGCCATATAAAACAAATGGATTATCAATTAATTCGTTAATAAATGAAATGAAACCTTTGGCCTAAATGTACCAAGAAGGATACAACTATACGTGTACAAACATAAATGCAGATATATAAATAACAGTGACACACGTATATAAATACTTATCACAGGTTTCCAGTATGCGTCTCTATTTAGACGAATATACATCTGTATTTACAGATTCATCAGACATGAGCTTTTTTTTACTTCACTTCATTTTCTGATTTCAGCGGCAGGCTGATGAGTTACTGTGCAGAACGCGTATCAAATTCAGCATGAAATTGTAAATTATTCGCGGTTTCAGCCACTGGCTTCACATAATAAAATAATGCAAAACAGCATCCCATTAAATGAGCGCCCTAAAAGCCAGACCCCCGTAAAAGAACCACAAGGAGTCGGTTCATTCCCCCACCTCGCTGATAAAAATGGCCACTCCTAGTGCTATTAAAGGTAATGGTCTAGTTGAACTGACAACAGGTGAAAATTGCTGTTAGGGTTAATAGAAATAACAATGCGGTTCGGGGCACTTCCAGACAGCTGTTTGGCGCGGTCAGTATCTGGATCAATCAGCGGATCATGGAGTTGCGCATACGGTCCAAACTGAGCCGCACTTTCAGCTACTTACCTCCGCAAACGGACGCCGTCTCCTATAAAGTGAATGGTCGAGATCCGTCGCCGAGACCCCAAGGCACAGCGAAACCGGAGTCCGGTTTGAAGGGTTAGTGCCAAGGCGTCGGCGTGTGCTTGATCTTGCCGGAGAGATAAATCATGCCCCTTTCTCCGAGGTTCGCGCTACTGCTCCATCACTGCCGCGATCCCCTCTCCGATCACGAGTCCATGTGCACTGGGCATGTTTAATGCCCCCGTTTCCAGCTAAGCAATCGAAGTTCCACACTTGTTCCAACTCCCGTCAATTGTAACGACCCTGTTCATCCTATGCCATTCCCATTTCCCAAGTTGGGGGTTGGGGCGAGAAAAAAAATGTTTATTTTCCTTAATTAGCCACGACTGCCTTAATAATCCAAGCACCAACAGAGATATTTCTGACGCCCACCCTCAGGACGAGATGAACCTGAATCACTAGATGGCTCAGATCACATAAATACACGCTGCGAATTATTTCTGGGTGTTATCCCCCCCAACACCCGCGTTCTCCGTTCAATCCCCACAAAAAAAATCCCAGCTTCCAATTATCACCGGTCCTGTAAGCGATCAGAGTATGATTTAACCCATATAACGCCGCGAAGAGAGCGATAGTCATGAGTCAACCGATGCAGCCCACGATCTGTTACGTTTGTGCCGCTCATCGTCGGCCGGTGGGCTGATCGGTGCCGCCCGCCGAGGAACCGAAGCGGAGCAGAGGAGAGGGAGCACCATTCCCGCGTGCCGAGTACGCTTCCTGCTAAAAAAAATTATAATTAATAAATTAACAGATAAACTGATAAGCGAATATAGATCTGTCCATCTTGGCATTGCTATACGATAACAAATGATGGCAGACCGATTAGTGCAATCATGTCCCCCGTCAAGCCATGAAACGGACAGTGAGTTTAATTCAAATTAAACTATTTAGCAGCAAGGTGCAGTGATTAGTGTTACACGAAACATTAAACACATATTATGCCATGTCGTGTGTACACAAGCACACAACGCCTACTGGTCGTTTAAACAGGCTTGTGAATCCATCACGTTAATGCACAAGAACCAAGAAAAGACATTTATACCCGGCTGCAAATTCAATACAGGCATCTAGCCTGTTTATAATGGAAACGATTAAACAGCCTAGCTTTATCTGTAAATACCGGCAAAGAAAATACCGGTAAGCACACGTGCCAAGACAGTCTGCAAGGTGCAGGGCTCGTGGCTCTCTGAAGTTGCGGCGCCTCGCCCCGGGGGGGGGGGACCCTCGTGCACGGCCGTATCACCCTCTGCACGTGTCCCATCCCGGGGTGTAAAACTGTGAGATGTGAAATACTGTATAAATCACACTGGATACAGGATTCCGCCAGCTTTAGCAGCCTCATCATTCGTGAAGAGACATTTCCCAAGCACTGCCTCATCAACACTACAGCCAGCGGTGATCCGATCGAGAACCGCTCAGCACAACCGCCGCCCCCCCAGCTCCCCGGCGAACGCAGACACATATATTGGGATGATAAAATTACAACCTGAAACACATTTCGGTTATAATCTAAGAACCAGACGCTTCCGCAGCAAATAGAAATAATACTCTGCGCCCAGTAAATGGAGGTTTAACTGAAATGTGCCTTTTGCTCGCTATTCCAGGACCATAAAGGTACGACCATATTAAATTCAGTTATTGACTTGCTGTGTATTAAGAGGTGGTCTCATATTATAGTCCCGCTGTTAAAATACATTCCGTATTTGTTATTAATACTCAGCACAACAGCACTGCTTCAGGTAAACATGCACCAGCTAAGAATGGAATGTCTTTAAACGGGTAATCCAACCGAAATGTGAAGCCGGAATGTGTTGCAGACGCATTGGCTCTAACAAAACGTTCAATATCTTAGAGCTAATTAAGCCGCGCAAACAAATGATCAGAAATGACATTTGATCTGAGAGAAAGACTACAAAGACCGCGCATGGGTTTAATACTACAAAAAGCTGAGCGTCAAGCATTTAAGAAAATGAAATATTGCGCCACATACATAGTCAGAATTTAATCAGCAGCTCAAATGGGTCAAATTCTCGAGTTTGGTCGTACTAAGCGGCAGGTATCAGGGGATCGGGGGGGGGGGGCTCGCTGCAGCAGGGGATGGGAGCTGCCGTCGGGCGAGGCACCCAGGCACGGCGCAAAGCAGAGATGGAGCCGCACACACGGCACGGCTGCGAGAGATGATTAACGCAGAAAAGTTAGTTTTTGTGAGCTCACTTATTAATTATGTCTCTACCGATCACGGCCGGCTGAATTGACAGATAGGGTGCTTTCACGGTTTTCGTTTTCAGGACAGCATACCAAATCTTGCGTTAATATCTTAAAAAAACGGCAACTATTAGCTAATGATCTTCAGCAGAGCTTCAAGAAACAGATAATCTTATGTGTACGGTTAAAATAGGCCTACATGACACTTCTTTGACGTCATTTAACCGAAAACACACTCACGTCATACTCAAGCAGCAACCTATCTGGTGTGACTGCTGTACCAAAAGGGGACTAGATCATCAGCTGAAGCTGCAACGCACCCTAATCAGGTCAAATACAGGGGAAATAAAGTTCACAGCAGACCACAGAACGTAGCAGACAATTTATTTTTAATACTTTTTCTGGAGCTGCCATTTCCCAAGGTGCAAGTCAACCTCTCGAAGTTAATTCTTAGCCCTGTTACGAACATCATGCTGTTACACATAGCTGATTAATTATGCAAAGGGGCTACTCTGGTCCTGAAGAGGGGAACCCCTTGTTTTAGCTGGCCAGACACACACACACACACACACACACAGCAGCTATTTCTGAATGGTGTCCTGTGATTATTTTTTTCTGTTGGGAGCGTTTAATCACCAGGAGTTTATGGGGGATCATATTTACACATCATTCTTCTTAATCAAAGACCTCTTCTACTCTGCTGCTCAAATATCCAGAACACCTAGCCTGCGTTTGACACAGGGTGGAGAGACGGGCTGCTGGGGAGGTGTCCACCAGACACACCGGCAGAGAAGCTAAGTCCCCACTCCAGCTTAGCTTTTAATGGCGCCAGGTGGATGGCAGGCCGCTGGAAAGACCTGTATCTGGACCGAAAGCGGCCACCTCTGCTGCCAGGGACACAGGGGACGATGACAGCTAGACGGAGTCGTCCTCGAGCTCCATGTGGGGATCAGAGCTTGTTATCCAGAGCATGTTAGACCTGAAGGAGTTCCACACTGCTGCCGTCACACTGCTGTGATCACATCTGATGTCTCTGCGCCCCCAACATGCCGCAAACTGAGCAAAACAGACCTCTAGGACAATCCGATCACTTGCGGAACATGATGTTTTAAGTGATAAGTCTTATCTATGCAAATGATACACATATAGAGGACAAAATACTAAAAAGAAGTAAAGAAAAACTTTCAGTGGACATGCCTAGAACACGCCTGGAAATATGACTAAAATCATCCGCATTGCAGAGCCAATATCCAAAGCTTCACTTGCAAGTCATAGCATGGAACTAGTGCTGCTGTACTCCATCCTGGCCAATAGGGGGCGTAACAGGATAGGGTTCCCAGCTGTGACCTCAGGGATGGGGGGTGGGCATCTTCCATCCCCTGTCAGCCTAATTCTTCTGCAAATCCACCTCATCAAGATGCCAGTCAGTCTCTGAATGCCCCTCTAAGGCCTCAGGCACAAGCAGCATTCAGGGGCCACTGGAGATTCGGCATGTCAGAATTGATCCTCATTACTTTGCATGGCACCACCTTGTGGTGGGGAATGGAACAGTTTACACTGAAAGCTGGAGGCCAGCTGCTGTAGGTCATGCAAGAGCTCACCCAGGGCTCAAACCCTAAACCCAGTGGGCGGGATTATTAGCGAGAATGGGCCCCCAACAGTCAAAGAAGCGAAGTCCAAAGTCAGTTGAGCCGAGCAGCTCCGATTCCTAGCGTGGTGAGGCCCACTGTCACTGCAAGACCATCTTGGGTCATGACCCAATGAAAAAGCACACCAGCGGGCAGACAGCGATTGTGGCCATCTCTCGCTGCCAAGACCGGTTCCAACTAATTATTTGCAATGCGTAGCGTTTATTGAGATCCGATACAAGTCGTTAGTCTTTCAAGTTTATTATGCCATTAAAATGCAAATCCCCCAGCTCAAAAACATAAATTTCAGAAACACTAACGTGCTGGGAAACGGCGGTTTTGTAGCCCTCTGGTTAATTGACTCTCATCAGCTAACAAGGGAATTATGGGTAATTCTTCTTAAGCCAGCAGTGATTCTGCAAGCAGCCTTCTCAGAGCCGCCTGCAGGGCCCGATCACTGTCGGGCACGCTGAGCAGAGACCCCATGGGATGGCAGAGGGCACAGACACCCCAGACAAGCCGCCTTCGTGTTCACAGCCCCACCACTGTCAGGCCTGCCTGTGCCAGGCTTGTTCAGGGTCACATCTTCGTTGGCTGACTGTTTGGAGTGCAGGTAAACCTGAGAGAGAGAGAGAGCTTGTGTCAGAGGTGTCAGCAGGGACAGGAAATGATGCGTTGCCCTGTACGCATCATCAGTGAGCGCCATTGCGCCATCCCCATGGCCCAGTCACCTCAGGAACAACGGAAGACACATCTGTTCTGAAAGCTTTGGTACATGTAGATGCTAGTGGGACACCTGGGGTGGGTGGGTGGGATTAATGTGAACTGTCAATCAAGTAGTTTAACCCACTCAGACTGGTTACTTGGATCAATTATGTTAATGCAGGCAGTCACTGACAGCGAGCAGTAATCATGCCCACTGCAGGATTCAAAGCCACTTTGCTCTCGCTGCCAAGCCAGTGAATGTCCTTGACATTGTTTCACAATTTGTTTCAATTTTTGTACATAGTAAACAGCTATAAGACGATTAAAAGACACGCCAATGAGGAAATCTGAATTCTCTAATCAGCTAGATACCCGATTGACCTCTAATTTGAATGGCAAGAGAAATATTTAAATGAAGTGAAAATTTACATACATGTAATGCACAAATTGGGCACTATGGGATTAGCTATTTTTACGTACTTTTTTCTTTTATACCAATGGTCCCTCACCCAGATATAAAATGCATCAAGATGGTGAGAACCTCGAATCCCCATCTGTCCCTATGGCAGCAGCCATCCACACCCCCCCACAGAGAGAGAGTTGCCTATACGCCATATGTTTTGTCCCGAGTATAATTGGGAGGGGGGAGGGGGGGTTGGATGCCTTCATCAGCCTGATGGCGGGAGGGAGTGGTGAGACTGCATTCAGTGCTAGGATCAGTATCAGCGGTCATCTTCCGGCTGCTGAAGTTCCCAGAGTACGACCTGCTTCCGGAAAGTTCCTGGCAGAAGGCTACATCCTCAGCATCCAGCGCAGAGAGAAATTAATTCTCTCTGCCCACCCCCCCAACCCTCAAGACTGTCGCAGATAGTCCACAGCGAGGAAGATGGTGGTCAGATGAACCAAAAGACAAACACAGCAAGAGATAGCAGACCAACAGAAATACTGGACTCGACTCTGAAGACCACGTGGTCCCATGTCACACCCCTCCATGCGGCTCAGCGTAAAGGGACGGACCTACCGTGCCCCGTTGCCATGGATACCGAACACTGACCGATAAACAAACATGGCGGATGTTAGCGACTGCTAAGGGCCCTTGGTTGGAACAAAACCACCTGCCTGCTGAAGCAAACTACCGGACAGATACTAACTGCAGCGTGGGACTGGCGACCATTCAAGCTGAAAATGCCATAAGCGCGTAAAAAGTACGGTGAGTAACATCACAGGAAGGGTGGGCGTTGGCGATCCCACTGCGCTCACACAGCTAATTTAGAGCGTTAGGCAGAAAAAGCCAGGAGGCAATAAGAAGTGCAATATGGAGTTCCGGGGTTAGACGGCGGGACAGCCGGGGGGAACTAAACTCATCAACCCACCCGGCTTAATTAGACAATAGCAGGTCTGCTGGAACCGCCTGTGGTGGGGTGGGGTGGGGGCACATCAGACTGCATGAGAGGGTTTGCAAGTTCAACTCATCCATCACAATTACCATGTTTACCAAACACTACACTGTAATTAATAAACTCAGCCCTAAGCTTATATATTGCACTGTTCTGGCTGCAAGAACCAGTGTGCCCTTTGTAAATAAACAGCGACACCCATTCATCTGATACCAGCAGCAACGCCCCGACTCCCCAGCACAATAAGTAATATACCAAGGGCAGAGGAAAAGAGCATCCGACATGGCCTGAATAGATGGCTCCGTCCGTGCCGCAGGGGGCAAGTGTGACTGTATCTGCGGCAGTGTGTGTTTGTGGCTTAAGTGAGATATCTCACTCAGGTTTAAGCAGCTACCTCAGGCACATCCCGCATCACACTAGTGCTAACAAGCCCTGAAGAACTGCATGGACTAGGTGTCATCGGGACACAGCGATGCAGGTCGATCCCGGACAAGCATGTTGATGTGAAACCCATCAAGTCAAAACACATCAAGGGGTTCCATATATCCTCCTTCCAACAGAAGGCCCCATTACCATAGCAATGTGTCCAGCACACGAGAGCCATAAGTGTGCGTTCTGAGGAACAGGCTGTACTGTTACACAAAAGCAGCGCCTTTACCAGCAGTTTAAATGCATTTTGAAAAAAACCCAGATCACCAACTACCTTACATTCTACTGCAGGGGGGGGGGGGGGAGAATCTTCTCCCACCCAAGAATATAGCATCAATACCCCCGTGTACAACAATCCAGGTTACAAGGGATGAAAGGATGGCACAGAGCCTAGTTACAGGGCATGGGAGAATGGCACCGAGGCTAGTTACAGGGCATGACAGATTGGCACAGAGCCTAGTTACAGGGCATGAGAGAATGGCACCAAGCCTAGTTACAGGGGATGCACACACAGACAGACATACACAGCATAATAAAAGGACCAGAAGTCTGAATTACTATCAGCACTTTATTTCACTTAAAACATGCTGCACTCTTGGTTTGAACAGCTGCAGTTACAAGAAAACGACTAAAAACACCCAGTGCTGCTTCTGCTGACCTTTGAGTTCAGCGTGTTCTCACTGGAGGTGTTGAGATTCTTCGTTGAGAGAGGTCTGTGGGGGGGGGGGGGATTTGAAGGCATATAACAGCCAACAAACCAAGTCCGTCTAGGGAGTAAAAATTGCACAAGCATTTAGCAATTCCCCTCAGATCACCAAGCCCCCGCCCAGCAGAGCAATCCAGCAGTTAAGCTTCCGCACGGAGGCAGAGATGGGATGGCTGATGTGTGACAGTGACATCTAAGCAGAAAATGATGATGTCCGACTAAATGTTCTACCAGCGAGCTGTAAAAGCAGAGTGGAGATTGGCTTCTCCGCCTCGGCAGGAGAGCACAGGATTAAAAACAGAAAGAACACACCCATGGCCCCCACTCCCAGGAAAACTCATCTTGAACTGAAAGGGGCGCAGATCAGTCACTAAACTGACATCAGCACCCAGAAACATCTCTGGTCTTGTTCTTTCGCTGAAAGCGGGTGTCCGCTGGGTCGAATCCCCTTCCGCAGGCTCCGAAGACGGCCCAGTCGGGGGTCCTGGCCATGTAGTCCTCGGCCGAGAAGCTCGTCTGGCTGTCGGTGTCGTCATGAAGACGCACAAGTTCTTGGAAGCGGTCGTAGTCAATCCATGTGTGCCACTCGCCAGCCACCTTGAACTGCCAGACAAACACATCAAGCCGTTAAAGGAAGCAGGCATGCAAAGGGCAGCCGAAACGGGCTGGGAAGCCCCCGCACATGTGGAGGCCAGGGGCATGTGCTGTCATTTTAAGGAATTACTGTGCAATATGTTCCTGAAATACAGACTGAGAAAGACGGGAGTGCAGAATTTTAACGGATCGGAAACATCTGGAAATCAGAGCATGCACAGAGCTGCGAGGGGAAAGGCGTCCATCTTGCAGGGAAGCGCCGAACTTCATTCACCGTCCCCCCCATTTCACACACTTTCATCAGCAAAGCCCAGAGCTTAGCGCTGATGCAGCAAGCTTTTCTCTCGCATCGGCCAATCAAATTGCCAGGGAAGCAAACACTAGGGGAATAACCCCGCCCCCAAAAGGACAGAATCCCTATCCAAGCTGATGCTGAGTGCTGCATAGCTAAGGATGCTGTGTGTTCTCCTCCAGCCCCACAGGGGGCAGTCTCTCAGGGAGCTTCGTGACCCCCCATGTCCAATCTCCCAGACCATCCCAGGAAATGACCCGAATGTCCAATCCTCTCTGTACCTGGACTCTTAGCACTTCAAATCCAGCATTTAATGAGCTCCCTACTCGTCATGTGTGACTCACCCCATACATTCCTTCCGCGAGTCTGTCCCACTCGTGGAAATTGCCGGTCTCCCCCCCGCCCCATTGCATTTTGGGATTGGAGAAACGGCAAGTTGCGAGATGGACTCATCTCATTCATGAAATGACCCATAAAATGAAAAGGCAAGTGGAGCGCCTTTACTGGAGAGAGATTAAATTAGATGCAAGAGCTTTAAGGCCCTCAGGGCACCAGGGCTTCTCAAAATACCGAAGAGGCACCTGAACGCTCCTGTTAAAGCCCTGCTTCAAAAGCAGCACCGCGGTGAAGTTCGCAGGCCGCTCTGCTCCAGGTCCCTGGGATGAAGTGAACCCGGAGCTCGACGCCATGATGGAATCGGAATAATCCGGCAGTGTCTCCAAAATGCATACCGGCCTGAACTCACAGTAGGAAAAGTCAAGCGCAAACTCCTGGGAGGGGGGAGGGGGGGGCAACAACAGAACATATTGATTGTGTCTTGCCAGGCTTTCCCAAGAAAAAACCTGGTACATAAAGGGACTGACAGCTGTCCTAATTACCCCCAATGTGAACCATGCCCCCCGGCACCAACATTCTGGTGGTACTCTAATGGCATCCAGAACCCGTTACCAGCTGCCCTGCTTACCACTGCCTCCTACAGGCCATATCTTGCCTGGTGCTCAGTGGCTGCCCCATCCATTAATGAGAGGGGGATGTGGGAAGGACAGCCAACACCATAGGCATGTCCCCCCAGGCCGGCAGGCCCCATCCTCCGCTCAGCTGCCCAGAGGAGACGCTGACACCCCTCAGCGCTGCCTGAAAGGGATTCGGAGCCGCCCCCAAAGAAACCAACTCTGACACAATCGATAAAAATCAAAGTCCGAGTGGCTCCCCATCGGCCACCAGAGCTGGCACCCCGAGAGACAGAGAGCAGGAAGGCGACGGGGGGAAGGAATGGCAGAAAGATGTGGGAGAGAGCATCACGAGGGGGGGTGGGGGGGGGGGGGGGGCAGATGCTTCCGGAATATAAAATGAGGAAAGGAAACTTGCTTTTAGAACAGAAATTCTGCAGTGCCATAGTATTCTAGGTGTAAATTAGGAATTCAAACGCAAATCCCAACTTATATATGGGGTAAGGAAGATGAAAGCAGTCAGAGAAGGAGCAGTAGGTGATGAAATGTCAAATTAGAGCTCCAGCGTCTCCAGGAGAAGAGGGGACAGGGTAATGAGAGGCAGGACGCTGGTCCTCGGCCTTCCAGGGAGACACTCCTGGGGGGGTGGGGGGGCAAGGACCGCGGCAGTGAGCATGCAGAGCCAGGCTGCCTCTCTCAGGCAGGACAGTGGCATGGGTGTGTGTGCATTTACAGAGAGGCGTGGAATGGGATGGCGGGGTGGGAGCAGCATGGAACGGGACGGCGTGGACCGGGATGGTGGCACGGGGGTGTGCATTTACACAGTGGTGTGGAACAGGACAGCTAGGGGGGGG